AGATAAGCCTGAACTACTGTCGCTTTTTCAACTGCTGCCCGCACACATCGAGGTCAACTAAACTGTAGAATTCCGCCTTCACAATTGGTTCAAGTGAAGCTATGTTTTCATATCCCATTGAGCTCTCAACGCAAACTGACCTGCTAACGTGTATATGTTCATATAATATTTTGTACTATTGAAAAGGAAACACATATAAATGTATTGGTGCACACTTACATGACGAAACGGTTTATTTTGGTTAACATTATGATTGTATTATTTCCCCAGTATGCCAATCCACACCACCGCTATTTTTCCTCTTCTGTAGCTCTACGCGTTTTCAAGCCCATTCAACTCGTAAAATCCCATAAACCCCGTTAAAGCCACCTATACCTTACAGTATGTGCTATTGTTGTCAGCATCCCAGAAAGGATATAATACACTGTGGTCCTTTTATATTTCATTTGTGTGAAAGAGACATTCTACAGAACAATCTTCAGGAAATGTATGAAGTTGTTGTCTGTCATTTGTACATTTCCGGATTTTCGGATTTATGGTGTACATCATGCACTACCTCTCAGTCTTGTTAGTTGCGACATCCAGGGACGGATATTGCGTGCAAATTATTGTCGTTTTGCCGTGTCTTATCACTGCATGAGTTTCGTGGCATCTAATACTTCAATAAATGCCCATCAACACACACGCAATGGACGCGTGGTGTTATTTGTTTCCTGCAACAGACATTATTGTGAGATAAATAATTATTACATCGTCGCCAAGACTGGCCACCAGTTCATCCCTCTGTGCTCTGTTCTAAAAACTAAGAGTGAGTGAGTGAGTTGGGTTTAACGCCACTTTTAACAGTATTACAGTTATATCGTTGCGTGTCAGCCCCATGTGTGAGGAAAGCCCGAAGTTTGAAAACTAGGAAAACAATGTTGACTAAGTACATATATATATATATATATGTTTCAAGGGTGTTTTAATTTCATTCAATGGTCATTTCAGGCAATTGATACACCATAACTTCAATTGACTGATTATACTGCTCAACATCAACATATCGTGTGTTATCCCACACGATTTTAGGGTTTTCGTCTCAATACTTTAGTCACTTGTGGTTAAAACGTACCTCCTTTTTCTACAACCTGAGCTTCATCTTCATCTTCACAGGTATCAAACACGCTTTTAGGGCATCTGAAGTAGACAGCTTACTCCACGAGGTGTGGACATTGAGAAGATTTGATTAGCAGCCTATAACCACTGAGTATGAATGAAAATGGCGAATGACATGGCGATTCACAGCCGAGAATCCGAAGTCCGTGATTTGGAGAAATGACAGAAATTTGTTGGTTACATAAGTCTGAGATTTACAATGTGCCGGTAAATTGTACAAGGGAGTCCCCTCCCATCAGTCCTGCATGTATAAACTTGGCTGGCTACGTTGTGTTAACTGTGTCACAATATCACACGCTGCGGATTCGTAGATGGGATATGATCATGGGGAATATTAGGTCATGCTTGTCAGGATTTCGATATCGGGTAGGCCTTCTTTATTATTACTGCAGTGCATGTGAGAGAGACAGCCATCACTGTGTGACACATATAAGGGTCATACTTTGTATCATGCATGTTAAGTGTCGTGGGACATACAAGGAACTATCATATGTAAAGACATGACGCTACAGTAGTGTCAGAAATACAATGTTTGGTGACCTACGTGTAGTATGCTGATAATACAGGCATAAGGAAAGGATGTGCTGGGATCAGAGAGGGAAGTCAGGGGTTGCAGCATATGTTTCCTGTGCATGAATGTGTTCGAATGTGTGCACATGTATATGTGAATGCACGACTTTCTCAATATTGTTGGTGTTTGTACATATGAAAGACTGGTAAAGATGCGAATATTGTTATATCCGAAAATCCGAAAATCCGGTTGGGCAGGACATGCGTACACTTTCGGAAGACATGGTGTCATCAGTGATTATCAGTAATCGATTCCTATAGTTTTCCCCGCTATTTTGCCCTTTACGCCCAATGGAATGTGTTTCGGTGAATAATCAAGATTGGTTATTCTCTGGCGTTGTATATTTATTAAGTTTAGAATGCTACGGATTGGAGCTTACATGGGAAATATCTCCCGGAAATAATGAAAGTTCATAGTGATGCTTTTAATAAAGTCAGAATCGTTAAATGGAGTCTGCTTACAACAGAGATTTCTTGTGATTATGCAAAGGGTTTTGTCGCTCTTATCCATACAAACATCTCTGACGAATTCGAATACCTCTACCTCACAGTGATAGCAATGATAAATCACTCAGAAATTCACATACTTTCTAAATTAAATTGAATAAAAAACTGATTATTCAAGTCAGTAATCAGAACATATTCGTAATTCGTAATTCGATCCCAGTGCTATACAACCTTCATATTGTACATCGTTTCAAATATTCAAACCGTCCCTCTGTTTATATCACTAGAAATAGCATAAGTAAGCGTAAACGTTTTCTCTCCCTTTCTCACAACCTGAACAATAGGTAACAGGTACAATGGTTGTGGTAATCAAAAGATCAAAATTACATGTACATGAGATGAAGAACAAATTTCCTTCATGGTATGATGTAAAACAGGAAAATACTATTTCAATTCTGGAAAATGAGTTCAACACAAAACAGAACATTTAAAGCTGTTTAAACATCAGTGCACTTCATTTCATTATACCTTTCGTCATTATTACGTACATTTGCCACATTCAGAAAACAAAGTCATTCTAGCCCAGTACGAACAGCTACAGGTGATGCCTCTATTGACAATACGCCTGTAAGCATTTTACCAACAGTATCCAGGTCTCGTCAGGATAACTTCCGTACTTTTCAAATGCTAACATAATATCTGAAAACAGAGTTGCCTCCCTTTGACCAGCTACCGTAAACGTGGTATGCATTATTCAACCTTTTCTATCCCTGACATTGTCTACAGTTGACTTTGTTGACTTGATACAAGACAGGATAATGTTTGTAACGGCGGTGGCAGTGCGGCTTGCGATAATATTTAATTGAAATGAATCTTGATAATTTGAGATCGGCAAGGGACAATCACCATGTTTCGTCAATGTCGGGTGTGAGTGGGGCTGAATCTAATTTCCTTTCTAATTAAATCTCCAGAGTGTGTGAGTGAGTGAGTTGGGTTCAACGCTGTTTTTAACAGTATTCCAGTTATATCACGGCGTGTCAGCTTAATGTGAGAGGAAAGCCCGAAGTGATGCAGGTCTCAGACGTTTACCGCTTCGGTGAAACCCAAGAGGACGGGTATGGTGCTGACAAACCTAGAAACATAATCTGGGCGAACCGGGATTCGAACCCAGGATCACAGGTGTCTGGCGTCCCCAAGGGACGCAACTCTACACAGCAAATGGCGGCGCCCTAGACTACTGGGCCACCGTACCCCGAAAATCTTGAGGTTTAACGTTGCGTTCAAGAATTCTGCTCTTATATGAAGTAACGTGCATGCACGCGTGTGTGTATATGTATGTGTGTCTGCTCATGTCGTTTTTACAGAACAAGCCACTGATACACCATACCGAAGTTTTAACATGAATACCCCACTCTGACACAATATACTGACCACAAATTGACCAGTCTTATCCCCTTAATGCTGAGCGCCAGGCGGGGTAACAAGAGCACCATATTTTAACGTCACTGGGCAGATACTCTCTCCCTTTACGCAGATGCTTAACGAAGTTCAGGTGTGGTATATATACCCTCAATATACAGTTATACAGACACTCCAAAGATAATGATGTTTTAACATAGATGTGTCCTTTCTGCAAATGTAACCAAGAAAATGAATACCATGTTTTATTGATATTTCCAGTATATGAGGATATAAGAATCAAATACCTGCCTAACTATTATTATACGTATCCATCACGAAGAAAATTTGTACAGTTAATGAACAGCAAAAATAGCCACATTCTTCTCAGACTTGCAGTTTGTGTTTATAAGATATTTGAAAGAAGGATAATACATTGAATATAAATAAAACTGTGTACACCATATTTAGCTACAATCTAATCTAAAGTGGTGCTTCACGACGAATCGTTTTACAAAAACAGTCATTATATTCCTGAATATGAGGTCACCGTGAACGTACTTTAAAGTCTATATTGCAACAGGTTACATGGCTTCGTTTTGGGAGTGAGACTTCACAACTCTGACACTGGAAATGGTGCAGAAACAAATCAAAGTGACAATACCGACTATGATAGAAAGACACCCACGTGTTCCTGCAAGTACATATTTTACACAGCGACATGTAGCTGCAAACATTCATTGTGTACGTCAATCTTAACTCACTCCCGTAATTTCAACAAAATACTTTGCTTTAAGAAAGTTTGGAACACACTGAAATCTGCATATGTTCAGTTATAAACATTTGTAAGAAACTGTTATGTAATCTTCTAAACATTAAAGTTAGCCATGTTCCTAGAATTTGTAACGTACAATGGTTTTTTTATGGAATCGAGATGCAAACAGAAACGTCAAAACTACATTGACACAAATCACCGAAATGGTAAACGTCTGAGACCTGCATCACTTCGGGCTTTCCTCCCACATTAAGCTGTCACGCAGTGATATAACTTGAAAACTGTTAAAAGCAGCGTTAAATCCAACTCACACACTCACTCGATTCAACTTAACACAATGCCTAAGGAAAGTTCGGTTCACACTGAAATACGCATATGTCCAGTTAGGAACATTTGAAAGAATCTATTATGTAATCCTCTAAGCAATATAGAGGATTTTTTCGTCATGAAGTAAGCTATGGTCCTAGCATCTGTAGAGTAAAATGTTTGCTTTTTATGGAATTGATATGCTAACCGAAACATCAATGCTACATCGACACAAGTGACAAATAACTCGTTTTTTTCTGCAAACCAAATTCGGACGACTGACTCCTGAAGGAGGTTGTAAAACTGTATATGTATACTGTATCACTGTACACCATACTATCAATGATAACTCCTTTCTAGACCACTTTTAGAGCTGCTGCAGCTCTATCTTTTCCCCAGACTCAGTGTAGTGAATGATGACATTCTCAGAATTACTAGTGTTATCTGAACTAGGCACTGTGTCACCAACTACTGGAGCATGGACACAGGTGGGAACATGACTTGAGTTTCCATATATAGCTTCTGTTCTTTGATTGGGTGAACGTATCTCCATGCGTGCAGGATCTGTATGGAGGTTGTTAAGATTTCCGTCTATATGATATGGTTGGGATGACTGCAAAGCGATCTCTTCAATAACACTTTGTCTGTCTGTGGAAACTGCTTGTCCCAGTTGACTCGGAACATAAACCCCTGGCAATTCTATTGATGCGTGGTTCACGGGGCACGTTGATGTTGGTGGTGTGGATGTAAGCAAACCGCCATTGTTATAGCTTCCATGTGGAACTGACGATGATTTCATAAGAAACTGGCCATCGGTTGTCACCCTGAAACAATACCACATGCACTTGACACAACATTTCAGAGAAAATAGGACTTAATCAAAATAGTGATGCTATTGTGACATATAATACAAAATCAAGATGTAAAAGCCTCCAGCGAAATCATTCAATAGTATACACAGTGAAGCCTAATTAAGTTCAAATATTGGTTAACATAATTTCAGCGTTTTTGCAAGTCCCCGTTGACATATGTAGCCCATGGAAAATAAGGTTTCCCTTGGAACAAATAGCAATAAAGTTCATCTCACCACAATGCATGTCTACAAGGTCCCCAAAACAACATACTTAAAGTCCCAAGCAATCCCAGTTTGGGAAATATGTCTAATTTACATAATCCAATATGGCAACAAACTGTCAATAGTATTTTCAACATTTCAGATGAGGTTCAATGTTTTGATGAAAAACAGCATTTGTTCTGTTGCAAAATAGTCATATTATGGTTTTAAAATGATATTCACAACTATTGATCGTTTTCGACTATTGACAAATCTATAAAACATCAAGATGGCCGGCAATTTCAAGATGGCCGACACTTTCCTAAATATGAGTTTAGACTGTTGAAGATTTATATCTGAAACAGTGTGCTTGGACGTATGTGCATAAAACTTGTCACACTAACTGACTGGCCCAAAATTCCAAGATGACCTCCAAGACATGGACAGACATTCAATATCAATACACTGTTGGTCTCTCATGACATATTTGATTGATTGATTTGGGACTTTTAGTATGTTGTTTGGGGGGCCTTATAGAAATGCTCTGTCTATATTCTTAGATAAATGATAGATATTTTGATAAATGTCTGATGGTACTGTCCTCTTCGAGGTCTCATATGATTTCGTAGGGTTTCAAAACTGTTCTGCAAAACAGCGTATACAATATATGTGTTTGGGTTGTCAACTAAAGCATCATTTCCACATTGCTCTTACCTATCTATAATTGTACCATGGTTGGTTGTCAGGTCATGTATATTTGTTGCCTCAGTTATAATCCTTGCAATATCATTGTGATGTTGTGCCTCTGCTTTTTGTAAAGCAGTTTCTTCTTTATCGTCTTTCTCATCCACATTTGCCTTGTTCTGTAATAACACCTCCACAACCTCCCTATGTCCCTGGCTGGCTGCATGATGTAGAGGTGTGCCGCCTTCCTTATCTTTCTCATAAACATTTGCCTTTTTCTGTAATAACACTTCCACAACCTCCCTGTGCCCCTGCCAGGCTGCATCATGTAGAGGTGTGCTGCCATTAACACGTTTCTCATAAACATTTGCCTTGTTCTGTAATAACATCTCCACAACCTCCCTATGTCCCTGGTAGGCTGCAAGATGTAGAGGTGTGCTGCCATCATCACGTTTCTCATCCACATTTGCCTTGTTCTGTAATAACACCTCCACAACCTCCCTATGTCCCTGGTAGGCTGCATGATGTAGAGGTGTGCGGCCTTCCTTATCTTTCTCATAAACATTTGCCTTTTTCTGTAATAACACTTCCACAACCTCCCTGTGCCCCTGCCAGGCTGCATCATGTAGAGGTGTGCTGCCATTAACACGTTTCTCATAAACATTTGCCTTGTTCTGTAATAACATCTCCACAACCTCCCTATGTCCCTGGTAGGCTGCAAGATGTAGAGGTGTGCTGCCATCATCACGTTTCTCATCCACATTTGCCTTGTTCTGTAATAACACCTCCACAACCTCCCTGTGCCCCTGCCAGGCTGCATCATGTAGAGGTGTGCTGCCATTAACACGTTTCTCATAAACATTTGCCTTGTTCTGTAATAACACCTCCACAACCTCCCTATGCCCCTGCCAGGCTGCATCATGTAGAGGTGTGCTGCCATTAACACGTTTCTCATAAACATTTGCCTTGTTCTGTAATAACACCTCCACAACCTCCCTATGTCCCTGGCTGGCTGCATCATGTAGAGGTGTGCCGCCTTCCTTATCTTTCTCATTCACATTTGCCTTGTTCTGTAATAACACCTCCACGACCTCCCTATGTCCTTGCCAGGCTGCATGATGTAGAGGTGTGCCGCCTTCCTTATCTTTCTCATAAACATTTGCCTTGTTCTGTAATAACACCTCCACAACCTCCCTATGTCCCTGGCTGGCTGCAAGATGTAGAGGTGTGCCGCCTTCCTTATCTTTCTCATAAACATTTGCCTTGTTCTGTAATAACACCTCCACAACCTCCCTGTGCCCCTGCCAGGCTGCATCATGTAGAGGTGTGCCGCCTTCCTTATCTTTCTCATTCACATTTGCCTTGTTCTGTAATAACACCTCCACACCACCCTATGTCCCTGGTAGGCTGCAAGATGTAGAGGTGTGCGGCCATCATCACGTTTCTCATAAACATTTGCCTTGTTCTGTAATAACACCTCCACAACCTCCCTGTGCCCCTGCCAGGCTGCATCATGTAGAGGTGTGCTGCCATTAACACGTTTCTCATAAACATTTGCCTTGTTCTGTAATAACACCTCCACAACCTCCCTGTGCCCCTGCCAGGCTGCATCATGTAGAGGTGTGCGGCCAGCATTATCTTTCACATGAATTATTCCCTTGTTCTGTAATAACATTGTAACAACTTCTGCGTTTCCATATATACATGCCAAATGAAGCCCAGTTTCACCCTTCTTGTTTTGCTCACCAATGTCCACTCGTTCCTGTAACAGATAGCTTACAATGCTAACATTTCCAACTGCACATGCGTAATGTAAAGGTGTTGATCCTTCAGGGCCTTTTATATTGACATTCAGTTTTCCAATTTTTCTAATTGTATCCATGGTATCTTTGCCCTTTAGACACAAGGATGCAAAATGTACATATGTATTCTTTCTTGACCTGTATTTCTTCTTGCTCATCTTTATCAAATGTGACAATCTGGAAGCCACTGCAGACAACCCACCCATACAGGCAAAAGTGAACATTTACCAAACTTTACTCCCAGATCATCTGCAACTGCCAACTGCAGTTTAATGATAAGAGGTCTTGGGAGTTTGGGTAGTGTCATCCACAACTTATCCAACTTCCAGTTTTTATTGGAAAACAGGTAATCGAAGTTGGCTAAACTATTCCCAAAGCAACTTCCAAACAAAGCTTCCTTTCTGTTCTCTGCATTCATTTGAACACTGAACAATGCTCTCCTCAACAAATGTGAGTTGTCTGTGATGCTCGCCCAAAACAGAAAGGAATATCCATGTACAATGTCATTATTTGACAATACTTTCAACAGTACACAACTGTCCTTGTTCATATTATGCAACAATTTCTCCCAAACCATATCAACAAATGTCTCTACCTTGAATAGGGAATGCATGCACACAAAGGCAAACTTTCTGCCGTGTAAAGCTGTAGCAAACCGCTTCGCTACAATATGCAGATCATCATGTTTCAATTCGAGGTTGAAAGACACATTTAGTTGTTCGTCTTCAGTTGGATCATCTCTAAATGTCACATAACGAAATATGAACTCGATATCCATCCTTTCAACCAACTGCCTAACATCACGTAGCAGTATTTCTCTTAGCTTTATTGCTACTTTATGATTTCTTATTCTATATGAGCCTGCTTCATGATGGAGACAGCATCCCGTCAATTGGGATAGAATATGTTTCATCACATTTTCAGTGTATTCTTCTTCATTGATGTCAAAAGCCTTAAGTGCCCAAACAATATATTTTTTGTAGGTTTCTCTTTCCACGCGAGTCCCTGTGTCAGACCCTGCCCATAGCATCCTCTCCTCCAGGTTATTCTCCGCCAAAGCAACCACTAACAAGCACGCCATCTTCTGCTTATGCAACAGGTGCTGATCCAAACATGGGTGGTCATCAGTATCTGTAAAAACAAATACCGTTTGTATGAAAGGAGTATACACCATTGCATATATAGATCTAAAGTATAATACCTTCCGTAACGCCTTACAATTACGTTACATAGTAATGATCTCCAGAATGCATACTTTCATCACTGGCGATAGCACAGTCGGTTCCTTCATGAATAGTTGGACCTCCTTGTTCTGTTGTCATTGAACAGCTATTTTCCAGTACATCTGTTGTCCCCAGCATGGAAGTTTGAATTTTGTGTTTGTCATTACCGAGTCCATCAACTGCCATGATGTGATTTCCTCCACCTTGCATATCTCCCTTGACCTTGGCATACTGTAGTATCCTCTGAAGTACATACAGCCTGTATTTCTCAACGTGACAGTTCCTCATGATGCCTGGAGACTTCTCCGAGAAAATTGCATCAGCAGCCTGAGAATATGAAAGTTAGAAATGAAAAGCTATCTTTCATACGTGGTTATTGAGACACATGTTGCCTTTCATATAAAAAACATAGCTTCAAACCAACCTACCATCAGAACGAATATCCCACAGCTGTGTCCATCAGACTGTTCTATCACTGGGTACTGTTTCTTCATCCATAACTTGCTCCCTTCCTTAGACGTAGATTTCAAGTAGTTTACAAAGAGCCTGAGGAATACATGTATATTACTCGATGGCGATAAAGTCTTCAACTCATGTGGACTGGTGTTAAAGTAAAGGTAGAAAAGAAGGTAAATACAGCAGTGCCTAAAATATCCTGTCCTGGCATTTCTGATGTTCTCTCCTGCTTTGTCCATAATTAGGTTTTATGTTAGCAAATACAGATGTTATGGTTTAAATGAATGAGTGACATAACTGTATTTATGGCGTTTAAATCATTCACACAGTGTACCAATTTGGGGAACTGGGTAACCCTGTGAACAGATTGTTCTATATCTTCTACCCAAAAGTAAAAGCTACAAATGTGGGTGTATCGAACATTTTTCGATGGATCTTTTTTACATTCATGTTTGTTTTTGAGAAATCAACATTTCAACATTTCAAATTGGATAGCTTGGTTTTAACATTTATAATGTGCAGCCACACGTCCTGTCTTTTATCTACCTCTAGTGTTGTACAAATGGGAGTTCTACATATAAGGCGGGTTTAGAATTGACCACGCCCACTGTTCTGTCTACCTACCTCCAGTGTTGTACAACCTTGTCCTCCACATCTAAGGAGGGTTTAGAATTAACCACGCCCACTGTTCCATCCTTGACATTAGCCACCAGTAGCACCCAATGTTGATTACGTGGCATGTTCACTGGCATTAAGATCCACGTGTAGTTTGTCAAATTTTCCTGTAAGTTCAAAAACAAATGCCTTTCCGGTGTACGATCAATATATCAAGAAACACGTGCTTCACATAAGCTGGATATGATGCAGTAACAGAGATATTAGTGAATTGGTATCATGAACTTGGAACTTAGAACTTCTAAAGACCCCTCTCTGACAACCAGATTTTCACTTCGTAAAGTAATATGTAGCAAGACGAATATGTTCTTGTGCAATATCTGCTTTTGCAACTGCATATTGAAAACGAATAGCATTATGGGATCAATGGGGTTACTGGCTTTGACTCAATTGAAACCCATTGCAGCATATGGTCGCTTCGTGCGCACAATTGCAAGTGATAACTTCTAGCATACTGAATACGCAATCATGGCATAGACGAATCATATGTTATCACAAAAAATATACAATTACTGCAAAATATCTTTCGAGTCTTGACCTTGTTCATGGTAGGGTGGACATGCAATGGTGCACTCGGAATGAAAGAATTATAAGAAATATAAAAATCTCACGTCACTCACATCTTTCCCCCTTATTCTGTCTGTGTACTGTCCTGCCTCCCACAGTAGGATTGTCTCTGTAGGCAGCACCAGACAGTGGAAGCTGACACGGGAACACCACTCTCCCTCCAGGAGGTGCAGGTATGAGTCCATGATCTAGACAGGAAAGAGTTCATTTATTAGAATGTTTATTATACTGTTTAATCGCCCAATGCTTTCGCTTCAAACGGAACGCTTGTAATTTCAAATCAAAGCAGGATCCGCTGCACATCACATATTCATCATGAAGAGAATATATCGGCTGTTAGCAATGACTGACAATTTGACTCGTGATGTACTAGATTTTGTGTACAATGCCCATTGCAGGTGAGTAGTGTCATCATTGCAGAATCGAGATGCATTGCAATGAGTTGATAATTAGCACCATTATATGAATTGATAGTTAACTAATACTGGTGTAAAAAGAAGAAACCGCCAAAAATTACTGTATTAATCTTAAGATGGGGTTTCAGTGGTCCAAGGCGCCGCATTTCGCTATGCAGATTCACCATGGGAATCAACAAAGTGGTTAACGTCAAAGATGTGCATCACTTTCTTCATAACTTAATCCAACGCACCATGACACTACTGTCAAAAAGAGGCGTTTAACCAAACTCAAGCTCTAGCTCGCCTACCTCAAGGCACTATCAATGAGTATTAGGTGACTGAACCACTCACCACCCTCACGCCCCCAGTTAATATCTAATACTGACATCATTTGATGAAATCGAAGGCCTCTCATGTTCTATGAAATGATTTTCTTGGATGGTTAACTAGGCACGTAGTTTGTGTGATTGTGTAAATATTGCAGGTGGACAACTTACTTCATCTGTCAGCCACTCGTTGGTTTCCAGGCGAGACAGAACATCTCCTCTGATGATGTAGCAGCCAACTGTGTATGTACAGTCACGTGACAGGGGGACGTCCTCTTGTACATGCTGCAGGTGTGAAGGAGGATCCTTCAGTGTTTTTCACAAAGTCCTGTACTTCAGTCCTGGTATGGCATGCTCCAACAAGTACTGCTGCGATGAGCTTTATGTAAACTGACAGGTCTTGGTTCCAGCTCAGACCGTCAGTATTAACAGCACATTTAACCCAGTTCCTTGCTTTTATTGAATCTAGATTCCAGTTTTTGTCGACCTCTTCAATGTGTGACAAGCACGGATTGCCTTTGTTGGTACAGTCCTTGTTCCAGAACCTAGATGATGCTAGGACTTGTTGCACGACCTTTATCACATCACGATTTCTTTCTACTTCTTCTAGAAACGTGTACAGATAAGAAAAGTGTGTGTTATTGACACAGGTTACAACTGTGTGGTCATTTTCAACTTGAGGCTGCAAACGAGGTTTCTTGACAGGGGAGCCTGACGTTGTACCTAAATATTCAATGTCATCATCACTTCTATGATCTCCTGTCCCGCAGCGTTTCTGATTTGTGCCGTGATCATTCTTTGTTTCTGTCTCTGACACCTTTGCTCCATTCAATGTTACACCTAGAATAGTGTTTGATTTACCGTTGTCTTCCAATCCTGTCGGTGATGAATGATCTTCAGGGTCCAGGTTGGAGTTACTGTTCTCCGTGACACCTGACTGCACAGCTCCACCAGTTGATTCTACTTTCCTACATTTACTGTCACCTGAGGTATTAACTGTCTGTTGACCACGCTTCTTGCGTTGTGGAGCAGGCTGTGCTTGTGTGTGGTCCCCGATATATTGCACTAGGATGTGTTTCAGAGGCTGGTTGTACAGATACGATGCTTCTCTGACAAAGGCCCTTGTTGTTGTCTTGTCCTCGGTGTAAGCCTTGTGGTACTGCTTCACTATGACTGGACTCGAGCCAGGCTGCTTCCGGGTTCCATCACTTCGGAAGTGATATTTGTCATCCTTCCAGATATCTGCAAATAGAAATTAACATCATAACATTGCAAACAATGTTGTAATCCTGAAGATGAACTATCCCTCAAAAAGCTTTGTTTGTTAGTGTGTCACCTGTGATGTAGATGTTAATTAATAAAACTGTGAACAGTCAATAGTGTAACATAACTCTAAAATCAACCCACCTTAATGCCAAATCAGCTGTAAGGTCATGCATAAATATGTTGTATTAGAGGTTGTGATGATAAATACCATGTCCTTTTCTCCTTCCCTGAGATGCAACACGATACTTGATTCTTGTTTAGCCCATATTGATTAATCCAACAATGGATTTTCTACAAGTTGACATCAAACAATGTTCATTATTTAAGTACACAATTGTTGTAGAGGGGATGGAAAGAGTAAATAGAAAAACAAAGATAGAACATAAGTAAAAGAAGTCGTTTTGATGATGATACAGACAAATAAACTTAATTCACGTAGTCACTTATTTGCACGACAATCACTTGTCAACAATGTTAGCGAACATAAAAGCGGTTATCACAGGGCTGTAAAAGGAAGCTGATACCAGGGCAGGGTGACCCCGACGTCAAGCAGACTATTACTGATAACGTACATGTATATGAATGTGGCTTTGAGGACATTGGTCATGTGTACTTAACAACCCCAATGAATTCAAATTGTGTAATAAATAATATCAGCTTTCCATGAAATATTAACATTGTTCATATGTATTAATCCCTGACCCGCTGTATATTAAGCCTGAACACAACTGCCTCACCTTCTCTCATTCCCGAGGTAATCTTATAGAGGTACACCTCCCCTCCCTGGGGTGGGGGTGGGGGGGGGGGGGGGGGGGGGGTGGGGTGGGTGGGGGGGGGGGGGGGTGGGGTGGGTGGGGGGGGGGTGGGGGGGGGTGGGTGGGGGGGGGCAGTCTGGATGGTCTTGCTCTCATCTGGACTCCTCAGAATGTTAACAATCTCCTCCACTTTAAGGGCTGAGGTTCTCCCTGTCAGGTAAGGCTCGGGTGGTTTCGGATTAGGCGCCATTTTGTAAAGTTATTAATAGTGACATGAGTCACACAGGCGTGATAAATAATCGGTTGTTCACTTGAACCTGTAGATGACAAAAGGTTATATTCTGAACTACACCCAAGCATGAATATTCATTATGTACCCTGTATTTGTCTACGCATCAGTGTTGGTCTTGTTATAACGCCTCAGGGCTTCATAAACGTCTCTCCTTGTACCGCAGGGGACGTTCTGTTATTGGTTTGTTGTTCTGTGTGTGGCTTGCGGGGAAAATAAAGCGAGTCTGTCCGGAGAGCGGAAAATAGGTGGTTCGAGCCCCGGCCGCGTTTTACCAAACGATGTTAAATGATGATATTTGTTATTACCCTGCATTATTTCTGCAGTACACTGTGTGACCATATTTCAAGATGAGCATTGTACATGTCCGAGTAACAATCCAAAAAAGCGTCAGTCTTCGTGATCAGGTGAATCCACTTAATATACATACTTTATTGTGGTTTCAAATCAGGTCTTGATCAAAATATAACATAATATTACAAATTACAATATTGTTGTCTGGCAACATGAGTAGAGAAATGTTACTCAGTTAGAAACCTATTGTTTTCAAAGGTTTCTGATATTGTAACAATGACCTCTGTTGATCTTTATTGCCTGGTTCAACCTATGCTCACTGAGAGAATGAGTGAGTGAGTATGGTTTTACGCCGCTTTAGCAATATTCCAGCAATATCACGGCGGGGGACACCAGAAATTGGCTTCACACATTGTACTCCACGTCGCCGAGGATGTTTTTTAACAATTTTCATAACCTGTACCCCAACTTACACAGATAATTATAATTAATAATGTCTTCCTCCGTTGAAGTATCCCAGTATTGTCATTGTTCTAAAGTTGAAATTTGGTTGATCTGAGTTTGCTTACTTGAAAAACATTGTATCAATATTGTTTCAACTCTGTTCGATATTGATATCATCCATAACAATTTTGTCTTAGATATTGAAATTGTTTCAATCTGACTTTCAAAAATGAAAAGTAAACTAAAAATCAATATTTCATAAAACATTTCACAGGTTGTTTATGAAATATGTGTTTTTGTTGTTAGTTGGAGTCAATATATTTAGACTCAAGACGTTTTAGACCAAACGATAATGATTAAGTAAGACTCGGAAGGGAAAGACTAGTAAAGTTGAATGAAGCCAAGGCAAATTTAGTTGTACCAGATGATTCTGCACCCATGTATTTAGGGGCTAAAACAAGGACTGGTCGGCTCGGAGTCAGTATACTGTGTCTGAGTGGGGTATTCATGTTAAACTGCGGCATGGTATCTCAGTGAACTAGCACTATAAATCGGCATCAGTCCGGACTAGTACAAGCAGCCACACACACACACGTACATGCACGTCGCTATATAAGTGCAATAATCTTGGACGCGACGTTAAACCCAATTTCACCTCACCTCAAGGCTAATTACCAGATGATTCTGCACCCAGATTCTTCAAGACAAGACATGTGCCATATCCGCTCCAGGAGGATGTTGAAGCTGATCTGGATAGACTTTGAACAGTCTGGTATCATATCCAAGCTTTGATCTCAGTGATTTGGACGCTCCCATCGTTCTCATCGTTAAAACATGACCAGGTCAGGCTATGTGGATACTTTAAGGTCACTGTGAACCCAGTGCTGCTGACTCATTCAATGGGAAGGTAGACCTTAATTTTTACGAAGATAGACCTGAAGGGAAGGGAAATTGGGTTTAAGGTCACGTCTAAGTTTAGTGCACTTATATAGCGACGTGCACGGACCTTCCGCTCTCCGTGTGGATGCTCTATCACTAGACCACGGAGGCGGTCTAGTGATAGGGCCGTGTGGCAGAAGTATTGTTTTAGTGCAGCGTTAGGTGAGTAGGAGGTTGTACAGATACAGCAGGGCATGTTTACCCTTTCGTGAGGACCTGGTGTCATACCTGATTGATTTGGTCTCTGATCATTTGCACAATTTTGCATTTACACGCTGTGGAACCTGTTTCGGCACATACGAGAGACTGTTATTCTCTGGCTTAGACGATTTGAATTAAAAGGTAAGTGGGTAAATTGCGGTGGGTGACAGGGTGGACAGGGTTGACCAGATGGATGTAGATCTCGATCGTTCGTTCGTTTGTTGTTTAAAGTCACACTCAGCAATATTCCAGCTTTATAACGGCGGTCTGTAAACAATCGCGTTATGAAGCCAAGTATCTAGGTAGTTTACACTTGGGAAACTCTAAAACGTTGAAATAGCGAGTAACAATACTGTATTCAATGAGTTTCCTGGACATAATATGCAGCAGTAGTATCTTAGCTGAACCGTAAACAGTATTGCAATCAATTATTTTCTTGTGGATGTTTGCTTCTTTGAGTCAGTTGTTAAATGCCATTTTCGCCTTCCCACACACAATGACATGCAGCCCTAAATACTCTAAGGACGTTTTCGCCCACTAAATGATATTGCGAAATAAATTAAATGCCATGTGCAGTACCTGTTAATCTTGTCAGTTACACCTCCCCCTGGAAGAATACTGCATGCACACTGCTGTCACATACATTAACCAAACAACATAGCTGCCGGAAATGTTCAGCTTAATATTGTCCACATATGACGCCTTTACATTGTGTATGGCTTCGCAGGCCCCGTTTTCCTAAGCGATCTTAGCGCTACGACTGTCGTAGGTCCATGCTAAAGTGTGGGAGTTACGGTCGCCCTGGTGCTACGATCGCTTTGTATGAATGACGGGTGCTACCGGTAGAACAGGACATGCTTACCCTTTCCTCGAACACCTGGTGTCATCATTGATTTTCAGTGGTACATTCATATATTTATTTATTCTCGTGCATTGACAATTATATATTGTGGAACGGAACCCTACCATTAATCTTAACCTCAATCGGTGTCACAGTGTACGAAAACCACTTGAGTGTGACATCATAACTCCAACGAACCTTTTGCCAGTCACTGCTACAATGTATATACGCCGGTATGTGCATCCATGTAGTGACATATATTTATAGCCTTGCAACGTTGACGTTTGTCGGATTTTCGGACCTAGATCGGTTCAAACACTGTACCATGGTTGTCAAAGGGGCATGTGCAGTTCGTGATCAGGTGTTACGTATTAGTTTCATCAAGGCACGGCTGTAAGCCAAATCCTTAATAGAGCTTTGACTGCTCCAAATTAACTACCGACTGTTTGAGTATGTTTGCATTGAAAAAAAGCACCTTATTTATTCTGTATTAGAATAGTATCGTTATGCGTACGGGTGTGTTTTTCCTCATTATCTTATTTGATACATTTGCATCATCAATTTATTCCTGATTTCAAATACAAACTTTTGAAAAATGTGCCATGGCCTGTAATGTAATCCCCACTAAACTTCCTTTACATGAAGGGCGATAACACAGCAAGACACCATACACTGGGCTCGTATATATATCTATTACACAGCGCTAGGCTGGCTAGACTGCCAGGTCACATCACCACAATCTCTGATAACTCTTACATCATTTGAGGCCTACATTCTGTGTATTGGAAACTCGAATTTGATACTATTTGTACACTATTGGTTCGATCGTATTAGTTGTGCGACAGGGACAATCCCTATTTATAGACAGGCGGACGATATCTCTCCTGGCGAAGTCAAGTGTGTAGTGAATGAATATGTCAATACCTGACACACGTTCTGTCGTTTTTTTCGGATGATAAGAAACGTGTGCTGAGAACAACAGGCAAATGTTTTCATGAGTTCATGAAAGCAACACGCTCAAAGTAAACAAATAGATCATTTAATAAAACAGATCTATTATTAATGATAGAAATTAAGTGCCAATATCATTACATATCCGGGTGCCCCTTAACCTACACGTACACTCTATAACCGCTGGGCTACCCACCGCCCCAGTATCACTGCACACGATGTGCATACTGATGATTCAACTCAAACCAACACTGCTATTTCACCCACACACACCCCAAGATTGAAATGGTTTATGAAATCCTAAAATCCGCAGTCCGAGAGCCGGAACAAGATTGTTCACGTGGCATACAACACTTCCCGCACAGCAAGTAGGGGGAATCCCCTTTCCCTATTTATATGTGTTTAATGTAATTTTGTTAAGGAGTCATATAGTCGCGGCGACTGAAGGATACACATGTGTGTTTCATTTTCTCACTAGACGTCATAGATACAGGCAGCATGGGTAATATTTGTTCATACTGGTCAAGATTCAGATATCAGGTAAATAAAGAATCCCTTCACGTATTTTCCCAACAATTAATGAATGTTAGCTTGTCACTGTTCATCAATGTTTATGCGCGTCCTCGTGTGTACACGTGCAAATGCGACTTTATGTTTGTTTATCTATACTAGTGTATGTAACATTACCAGACTTCTTGTGACGCTACAGTTCTCAATCGTGGTTTAAAATAGGTTTAAAGTTTACAATATGCGGGATCCAAGCGTCACCAGGAATATGCCTCATTGTGTTCATTTGGGGCGGTCGGGTAGCCTAGTGGTTAAAGCGTTCGCTCGTCACGCCGAAGACCCGGGTTCGATTCCCGACATGGGTACAATGTGTGAAGCCCATTTCTGGTGTTCCCCGCCGTGATATTGCTGGGATATTTCTAAAAGCGGCGTAAAACCATACTCACTCACTCACTCACTCACTGTGTTCATTTTGATTCCAGAAAATGTCCAAGACAGACGACCACATAACCTGCTATTATAACCACCAGCTCGAACTGAGAGGTACGTTCAGTCGCATTTATCGTT